GCGGGTCTAGCGTCCCCAGGGGTGGTCGGCGGGGACGTATGCCCGGGGAAGACAGGAGGAGCCGTAGCCCTAGGCTTTGGCAATGGGCAGGCGCTCCCAGGGTCGAGACGGGGGGGATGCGAATACTCAGTGCACCCTACCCAGGACTTCTTCTCCTCTTTCCAGGTCACGGAGCTGTTCCATATCGACACGGGCAAGGCACCGGTTTGGCTCCCCGGTTGGCGAGGTATCGGCGGGAGTCGCCCTCCCTGGACATCGGGCAGTCGACGACGCAGCCCCTGCCGCGTCAGTTGCAGGGGGCTTGGCCGGTGAGTCTTGTGGGTCACTACACTCCAGTTCCTTGGTTAGCACACTGCAAGCACTGCTCCACTCGCTGGGGGCGGGGGGTGACACGGGGGGTGGCGTTGGTCGGGTTTGGGCCCCGGGGACGGAGGTCCCCGGTCCTAGTGGGGTTTCCGTGGGGGCTTAGTTCGGGCGGGGACGTGGGAGTGGCGCCCGAGGCGATGGCGGCCGGGGGTGACAAGGCGGAACTGGCCGGGGGTATTCCGGATGCAGCGAGGCAGCACGCATACGTCTCGTTTGCGGGCCCCCTGGGGGTTCATCTGAAACAGGACGTGAAAGAGAAGCTCTGGAAAGGTGAGTTCTGCGAGATCTTCTCCCTGCTCCCCTTGGAGGACTTTATTGACCTCAAGGAGGAGGATAAAAAGGATGAAAAGAAGGAGGAGGAGGAGAAGAGGAAGCGGTATCGCAAGATTCCGAAATCCTTTGGCAACTGGTTACGGGCGTTTTGCGTGCTAGCCAGCGTGCTGGGGGAAAAATCGCCGGGATTATGCTCCCCCTGTTCTGCTACCTGGACGGCATTTGGGAAGCATATCGCACCTATGGGGGGCTGGCATGGTGGCGCTACGATGAACAGTTCAGGCAGCGACTGGCGGCTAACCCGGGGATGAGGTGGGATCAGATGGATCTGCCCCTCTGGATGAAGCTAATGATGGCCCAGAAGGCGCAGCCCTTTCCAAACTCGGCCGGCGCGAAGGGGCAGTCCGCCTCGTCGGCCACTTTGCAAAAGGGCTTCTGCTGGCTCTACAATGAGGGCCAGTGCAAATGGGGAAACGCGTGTCGATTTAAGCATGAGTGCTCCGGTTGCGGGGGTGCTCATGGGCTCAATCGCTGTTTCAAAAAAGGGAAGGCGGGAACAGCCGGAGCGGCTGCCGGGGCCGGAGGGAATGCTTCCCCTTTCCCGGGGCTTCACGCCGGTGAGGCTAGA